AATTTTACTGTTAACCAAATCGACATTTAATCGTAATATACTATTATGAACTGTGATGTATCGCTTTCATTGTTGAATAGGTAAAGATATTTAACTTGAAACTAGTAAGTGATTTGGTACGTTACTGCGTTTTGAAATATTTTCGCATTACATTAGTCCATTTTTAAATGTATTTATAATATTTCAGACAACAGGTTACAAAATCTTAGTGAACTTGTGTATTGAGCCCAGCATTATCTTGTGGAACAGTGGCAAGATTTAATGACACTGTTTTCGGTCAAAGCACTTAGCCACTTTCGTGCCAATTACAACGCAATGTATTTCCTAATAGTCCCTCATATAATAATGGAAATCCCCACCTTTATGAAACCGCGTTTAGAAGAACCCACCCAGTAGTTTTATTTTATTAACCAGATTAATCTACATCACTTCGCCCCACCCTAATTTATTGAGATCCATTTTTGTAATATCCCCAAATCTACACCAGTATTCTGAATGAACTTTTCAGGCATTTACATCAATATTGTTTCTGCATGTTTCTTCGTACTAGGCGTGTCTACCGGTTGTCATTTTAAATGTTTAAAATCATATAAGGCTTATCTTAATTCGCAGAAGTAAGCTCAATATTTTTGAAAGCCTTACAGTCCTTTAATGATATAATTATATATTGATTGTATTTGTTTTTAATTTTTCAATGCTTTTAACTTATTTAAACAAAATGTACGATTTAATCGCTTCAAAATAATACTGTAAAATACTAATATTCATTTTGGCAACACAGAATCCATGTTGTAAGCACAGTAGTTTATTGTCGGTATATTTACCTTTCATTAGTACTGCATTGTAAATACCAGCACCTTTATGACATAGATGAGCATGATTCAGTGCTTTAAAAATAAATACAGAACCTACACAGAAGTAGGTCCACATTTCGGCTCTCTGACTATTATGAAAATATAAAAATTAATATATAAATTCACTTGAAAATGTTAGAAAATTGTACATTCTACATACGAGGTGCGATCGGAAAGTTTCAAGACTCTGTCAATAGCGGGCGAACCGGATGTAGTACGAGCTTCTGCCGCTAGGGGGTGCGGCCTACATTCATAGTGAATCAGTGTGCCAGCCGGCATCATCGAATTAGCATTTGTTTCTTAGTTAACGGGCGTTTTGGTAGTGCATTACACCGACCCTCCTGCGATTTCGGAATGGCGGATTTTCATGAACAAAGAGTGTGCATCAAATTTTGCCAAAGACTCGCCAAAACGGCTACGGAAACCTATGAAATGCTAAAGCAAACATTTGGGGAGTCCGCAAACTTTTGTGTGGCATTCACGTTTTAAAAATGACCGAACCTCTG